CGATGATAGATGACAGCACTCGGAACAGGCTCGCTCCTGATCCAAACAACGCCAAGAAGACGCAAAAATTTGGGCCCAGGAGAAAAATGGCATTTTTATGGAAGGTTATTCCAAAATAGAGTAAAACAGCGGTCTCAGGCGAAAATTTTAGAGTATAACAACGAGTTTCATGAGGCAAAAAGCGGACAGACCTACAAGGTAGTGTCCGGGGGCCTCGTCTTGTCCTCAAGACTGGTTAGGGCAAGGGATTTCTTCGTTCATTTGACCTCTGATATGATTCATCTCTGATTACCACGTACCTTTGAATCCTATTCGACTTGCTTCAACGACATCAAGATGGGGCCGAATATAACATACCGGATGTCGTGTCTTTCCGGATAGGTACGTACAGTAACGGATTCTTGACTGAATGTTCATGGGCCAAGGTATATACTCCCGGCGGCATAAGGCTTGGAGCGGATAGGGACTATAATCACAAAACGGAGCTGTATTCGAGCATCGTTATATTTTCTTTGAGAGATCTTTTCCTCGATACCAGTGAAGTGATAGTCCTTTTATTTCCAAGATCGGGTTTGAGCATCGCGATCTGTTCCGAAGTCAACTGAATAATTTCAAAAGAGCTAAACCTTGAGAAAGACGGACGAATACAGGCTGCGATAAATTCCAGCTCCGACGGCTAGAATAGGTCACCAGTCTTGGACCTGATGTGGTCAAAATTGCCGGATATGTTGATCCTGGGTAGCATAAAAATTATGCGAAGCGAACGCCGAGAGCAGCCCTGAAATCAGTTGAACTTGAAATTGCTCGCCAGATGTAACATTTGAATGCCCAGAAAACGTCGCCCGCGCCCCACCTTCCTCCAAGTCGCGGGATTCCCAGATTAGGTTGAGTAAATGAAGAGGAGGTGATTGATAAACTCCTGGCTAGGTGGTTAGCTTGCGATTTCCCCTTTTCGCTGAGATGGACAGGAAAACCGAAAGCTGTTATTGACGTCTGTTTGGGGACCCACGTGGACACCATCGGATCACTTCTTTCCGCTCCACCAACACACTTGCCTTCGTCCTCGACTCGATCTCGACTGGCTTTGAATCCGGTTGGTGATATGCTTCCCTAACCCATTCAGTGAAGCCTTGAACTGACTTTGACCATGCAGATCGGCATTTGGCATGGATCTTCTGTCACTCATCAATACGAATGACGCCCCCACTGAATCTCAGGCTCGAGAGATCCATCGTTTGCTCGAGGCCGGGCAAAACGATCTCAAGCGCATAGAAGATGCTACTCTCAAGGTTTCGCTCATACTGTCAGAACTTCAGTTCCAGAAACGTCAGCGCACGAAGTCTCTGCCCGCTCTGCGCCGTATACTTTCCCCTATCCGACGCCTCCCGAGCGAGCTACTCGCAGAAATATTCCTCTTCTGCCGGGCGGACAGTATGAGCTCCTCTTTCTCAATCCTAGATGTTCGAAAGGCGCCTATGCTTCTCAGTCACGTAGCTGCTCATTGGCGCGCCGTTTCCATCGGAACACCGATGTTATGGGATACCCCATGTTTCAGATACTCGATTGTTCCCGGTCCCAAGGCAATATACATGCGTACTATCCTTCAGCGCTCCCTCAATCTCCCAACTTCGCTGTCATTCGAGACGTCCGGTCCCGTGGCCCGTACCCGGCTATCCATTTCCGCCGGAAACACGGATTGTTTCCAATTCTTCGCGGATCTCAGTGACCGATTACACCATATTTCCCTCGATCTCGCCTGGGATGTCAGGGAACACGCAGAAAATCCCCCACCCTCCCCGCTCTTTCCGATCCTCGCCTCGCTCGAAATCTCATTGGAGTCCGACGAACCAGGAGATTTGCCTACGATAATGAATTCATTCCGGCGGGCACCTGGCCTCAGAGCGTTAGGTTTATGGGCTTACTCCTCACCATTCATCCCAACCTATGACTTTCCATGGATCCAGCTCACGTCGTTGACAATGTCCATCCCCATTGACGATACTACCGTCTATCTGATTTTGCGGCAGTGCATTCAACTCGAGATTTGTGCTTTGTTCGAGATGAGTTTTACAGGCGATACCCAGGACTCACAGCCTCTCTGCACACTCGATGCCCTACGCTCATTTAGCTTTACGCCATGGGACGCGGCGAATTCAGGGAAGCTGATCGAGTTTTTTTCGTTCCCAAAGCTCGAGTCCTTGAGCCTCGAGAACTGTGGCAATCTACCTGCTACAGTAATCCTCGACTTGCGGGCACGCTCAGATTTCAGACTACAAGATTTGACGCTGTCCAAACTATCACTCACCACCGGAGAACTGCTTGAGATCCTCCACCATCTGCCCTCCCTAAAAACATTGTTGCTTGAGCAGTCGACCACCTATATCGTCGACGATCTCCTCAGAGCATTCACCTATCATTCCCAGTCGCATGCGCGACCCCTCATCCTTCCCTGCCTCACCACACTAACCATCCGACACAATTCAAAGTTTCTCACCGGCTCCGTTGTCGCCGACATGGTTGAGTCCCTTGCGCGTCATGCCGGCGACGAGGGTGCGCCCTTCCCCTCAATTCATTCCGTTAAATTCTACCTCGAAGGCCCAAAATTCACCCCCGGGGTGGAAAGTCGCCTCGCTGGCGCGTGCCTCAGCGGCTTCCTCGAGGATTTCCGCGCAGATAGGCGACAATAGGTAGCGGGTTCAATTGATCGAAGTTGATTCGGACAGAGGCATCCGCGTTCACTCCAAGGTCCTTCGGCGGCTTATCTAGAGGGATACTAGTATCACAGGCGATTCGTGAGAAACCAGCAGTTTACATGTAAGATGAGTCGTATGGTCTTTCTGAATCCATGGATTTAAATCAGCGATGGACGCCGCGAATAAAATGTAATGCAGATGCACAAAATATTCCACAGAAAGACCTAGGACCTCGCTTTGTGGCTCAGCTCCGCTTGCAGATCGTCCCTCTCCATCATCTGGGTTGCGAGTTTCAGCAAGACTGGTTGAGAGATTTCTTTCGCCTCGAAGTGTTCTCAGATTTCCCCACTAGTTCTCGACCTCGACATTGTCAGGTATAATCTAATTCTGATTGAGCCTGCATCGAAGTGAAAGGGTGAAGGGAGACGTAAATGGGGAAGAAGGGAAGAGGGGAAGAGCTCTCGAGGACGAGGAGCGCGGATTTCGAGAAATGGGACGGGAGATAATGAAAAGACTCAACGATGCCGCGTGCATACAGTATATCACCCATTCTCCAACTTGTTTTTGTTTCTCCTGGTGGTAGTCGTGCCTGCGGGCGGATCACAAGACTTGCTTCCCACCAGCCTGCGGCGGCTACCATTTTTTGTACATAAAACGGCGCGATGATCAAGTCACCAAAACAGCGGAATAGATTCACATGAAGCGGACCTGAGATTGGTCGGCGGGGGATGCACAAAAACAAAATGGAAGAACGAACCCCTAATGGAATTCACAATTGTGCGTTGCAACGATACTGGTCACCATTGGTTCCGGGGTTCCGGGCTGTCGCCTCTACGTATCCCGGTCCAGTGCTTGGATTCGAGTCGTGAGTGCGAATGGCGAACAGCGAATGAGCCTTGAATCCAGTGCTTTTCAGACTCCCCACACACAACACGGTGCCCAAATCTATATGAATCCATCACTGTGGGAGGCGATTCTGGATCAGGCGCGTGCATTGCCTTGCCTCACCTTTCGAGTACTGTAAAGCGAGAATAAGAACGCGAGCGAATAAGCCCTGGAGATGTATAAATCAAGACTAGATTAAATTCAAGACTATGCACTAGCTTAAATCGTATCCCAGTCGTATTAGAGTGGCAGGGGGGTATACATGTATGTGTATCCCGCGCAATTGCAACGCAACAGCCATGACCTATGGGGGCCGTGTGCGCGGGACAGGGGATAGGGTCGGCGTCACGATTTCCCGAGAATGTCGATGTGGCATGCCGCGCTGTGCATTTGGAGTTTAGAGCGGAAGGAGGTCGTACGGCGATTACATGTATTTGAGCTTGAATTCTGCTTCCTCCCTCCGAGCTGTGAGAAGTTCGAAGCTGGAAGCGTGACATGGGCAGCGGGATGCGGGGCCCGATTTCCTGAACGTAGGATGAGGTGCGGTGCGGTTTCGGCGTCGACGCGGAACCCAAAAGTCAAGTCGGCTGGCGCGTCGGATTAAAATCTGGGAAGCGCCGCGCTGCCATCCGGATCAATCGTCGTCCGGAGTCAGATGGGCAGCTAGTTCGAGATTGCTTTGTACATGTGTTCGAAGCTCGAAGTCCGGAGAGTCCAGTCGTCGATGCGCGCACGATGGCGAGAATGGGTAATTTGAACGTAGACCATGCGGCGTCGGCGTTTTGAGTTTTGCGGTTCGAATCAACTATCATCACTCAAGTTATTATTTAGCCTAGTCTCGCGGAATTAGAGTACTAGAGCGAAATAGTCTCCCGTAGTCAGACTCCACGGAATTATAGACAGTCGATATAATTTATGTAAGAGCGAAAGAACTCAAAGGAGACTAACTACTCACTCATGGCCATCATCATGCCAGGGGTGGCGGGGATTATAACGTCCCTTTCTTCTTTCCGCCTTTCTCTCCTTCATTTTGTCGAGTCAGATTCACTCATGTGCGCGATCCGAGCGAGCCAGCCTCACCGTGTCCTGGATGCGAACGAAGAGCAAGGGAAAGAGCCGGTCCGATCAGCGGATCAACTCGGCTCGATGGCTTTTCGAATTGCCGTTCCACCTCGCCTTTGGAGTTGAAGTTGAACAAACGTCCTCCGCAGCCCGCCTGGGGATGCATGTCGTTCACGGTGCCATCCGGCAACGACAGTCCAAACTCTCTTTTCCCGCCCGATTCACCGATCCTCGCGCTCAACCAAGCCCGAAGAAGACGGCTCGTAAGTCGCCCTAGATCTTGGACCACTTCCAAGTTCCAACATGCCGTGCACCTTTCAATTCACCCCGTGTTATCCGAGGACTCAACCTAACTACTCATTGGACGTGGTGTACGAAACACGACGGGTTCATCTAGTTCTTTGGGAAAATGCATAGATAACCCCGTAGAACGGGGTTCGACTCCCCGCGTCCGAATAATGTACAGGACGAAACCCGCTGAATTCTTTTTGGATTTCACCTCCCAGCTGCACCCGTGCATATGTAGCGGATTTCATCGAGGGGCGGGACGGGGGAACATCCCCACGCGCGTAAACAAAAACGGGCACCTCGATCTCCATTACCCTCCCAGCCGCCCTCCATCGTGTGATGACTCGGGGATGGCCCTCCTCTGCAGCATTGACTCGGAGAGCATATCCCGGGCCGGGCGTGGTGTATGCAACCCAGCGGGTTCATCTGGTCCTATAAATTCATGCCAAACCCCTCCGAACGGGGTTCGACTCCACGCGCGCTACATTCGAATGCCAGGATGGCCAACTCTTATTTTTCTCGTCCTCCCGATATCTACCTCATTTTACCTGCCTTCCCGCCTCCCCGCCCGAAATCCACCTCCTCCCTAGTGGTGAGTTCACGAACAGCTCGGCGGAGAGTCATCCACAGCCCGCACCTACGTACTATCCAACCTTCTCAAAATTGCCTTTCCTTGTGCCCCCAACCGAGTAGCAAATAAAAACGTTAAGCGCACCCACTCGTCTAACCCCGAAGATATACTCGACGGTTATGACCAGAAACCTGTTTTGCGAATGCGATCCATGCGCTATCGTGTCTATTGCCTACTACGTTGATGATAAGAGATGCGCTCGAATTGATTTCTGGTGCGATCCGAGTGTGAGAAACATCCCTACTTGGCAATATTATATCTAATTCAACCGGCACTATGCACTGGTATTATATATAGAACATGCAAGGTATACAGAGCTCTACCAGGGTATTTCATCAGAGTCGATATCCCAGGGGTTCCCCTTCAAGGCCTTAAAATTCCAGAACCGGCCACTACTCTTCTCCTTGGTCGCCCCATCAATGCGCGACAGAATCCCCGCAACCGAGTCGTCTACGGACACGGGCGCCTCAGGAAGACCATTGGCAACGGCTCCTACATTTCCCATGTCGGTGGCGACCCACCCCGGGTGTATTGCGAGTGCTACGAGGGGCTTGTGCTCGGCGTCGAGCACCTTAACGAGGAAGTTGCTCGCAGCCTTGGAAGAGCCGTAAGCGGATGCGGGCAAGGGGTAATACGCTCCCATTGAGGCCGCGCCGGTGGAAATGAGGGCGAAGACGGGTGCGCCGGAGGGGGAGGCGAGGAGGAGGGTGTGTACAGCCTGGAAGAGCACGATGGTCCCCAGTGCGTTCACTTCCCAGTGCTCGCGGAACTCGGAGAGGGGGGTCGTTGCGAGTTGGCCGTAGTATTTAGAAATGCCTTGGATGTACCATCAATATTGAGTCGGATTTCATAAAGGGTGGATTATGCCCTTACCTGCGTTGGCGATGACCACATCGAGTTGCCCCACGGTTTTCTTAATTTCCGCCACCGCCGCCTGATTGTCGGCTTCGTCTCCGGAGGTGAGTTTGACCACATACACGTTCGAGTTCTTCGCAGCAAGATCCTTCAGCGACTGGGCCGTGGGGTCGCGCGCACCGGCGAAGACGATGGTGTTAGGGCGCGCAGCAAGTACAGCCGCGAGGCCATACCCAATTCCGCGGTTGGCGCCGGAAACTGGACAACGTAAAAAGGTCAATGCAGATACAATATGTAATGATTTGAAAACGCACTGAGGTAGACAGTTTTCCCAGACATTTGTTTGTGTAGAAGCGTGTTGATGTTTTTACGGTGGGAGTTCTACTGGCGATGGCTTTTATACGTTCTCGACCTACCACGCGTACACTCTCAAATAGATTGCTCATGCTCAGTAATGCTATGGCGCAGCCGACATTCAGTCAGCCTCTTCTTATAAAGCGCGAATTTACCGGACAATGTTTTGATAAGCAATGCGGCCTTCCGGGTATTCCCGGCCGGCCCGACCGTCACCGCCACCCCACCATCTAAACTCGTCTAACTTAGTTCAGAAGCAAGCGCTTCTTCGTTCAGATAACCTCTAGTATGATTCATGTATGATTCCTACCTATCTTTGAATCGCCATTCGACTCCATTAGGGGCAGTCAGAGTAAAAATTAAATACCCGATTCTGAGTCGATTCTGATGCCGATTCTGAGTCGATTCTCGGAATTGTTTTGCATCAAATCGTGTGAGAATCGTTCAGAATCGACCTCAACTTTGACCGTCCCTTTTCTGAAGTCGATTCTCGAGGCGATTCTCTCCAATTTATATATTTTCCCCATGTCCTCTCGAGTCTACAAGATGGATTGACATTCTTGGTGGCTGTCCACATCATCTGCTCGTGCCTCTTGCCGCTCGTCGTGCCCAATGGGCGGGTACTCTTTTGAAGTCACACATCCGAAACCACAAAGGAGGACAGCGACATGCTCTTCACGGGTTTTTCTCCATCTTCAAGTTCTTTGGCTTCGGCGGCGGCGACAGCAGCAGCAAGGCCTTCTCGGACATTGTGGCTGCTCTCTTGGTCATAGTGAGGATGGGACAGCGATCGGCGGGTGGTGACGGCAGAAATAAATATTTGTCTGAAACTGTCAACACAAGTAGGAGTCACAAAGTTTGTAGTCGAGGAGAATCGGATTTAAATTAAAACCAGAATCGCCTCAGAATCGTTGTCGAATCGCCTCCGGAGGCGGTTTTACAAATTTAAGTCGATTCTGATTTTCGACGATTCTCTCACGCTTAAATAAATCAGAATCGTCGTCAGAATCGGCTGTCAGAATCGCCTCAGAATCGACGAGAATCGTCTACTCTGACTGCCCCTATTTCCATGATTCAACTATTCCTTAGTACAATTGACTGTAACAATGCATACCTGCCAAAAAATCTAACAATACATACAATTCTGAATGGAATGAGCAGCCAATTCACACCCAAAATCCTGTCTTGCAATGGGTAAACCGAAAATGCATAGCATTCTGAAGATCTTGGCAGAGGAACGAGCAGTACAGCTGTATTCCTATTAATCCTCTCGGCACCTGTATAAAATAGTCGTATGAATTCACCAGAATTCTGTTCCCCTCTTCGTTGTCTCGTGTAGGCAAATAACTAACTTGAAGGTATCCGATTCCGTCACTGGCAGTGCTGCTTATTTTTCCCGCCCATCATGGCTGAAATCCACGACGCGAGCAAGCAAAATGTCCAATGCGAAGTCCGAGACTTCCGTACATGTGCATTCCAAAGTTTTTGTACGAATAGATGCAAGGCAAGTATGCTAGACTGTCTAAGTGGGGATGGGCGCCCTGGATCGATCCGGCATGTTTGTGTTCTCGATTCCACCTTCCGCCACCATGTTCTGGTGTATAGCTCATCCCTGGCTCACTGCCTGGCTCAGTTTGTGGGTACAAAATGATTCAAATGTCAACGGCTATGTGTCCCCCCAGTAACTCCGGCCAAAATAGCACCTATTGGCTTCATTTGATGCCAGATTCTTGGGAAAATAGTATTTTCAAGGACATGGCGATAACCTGATATTGCTACATGCACCGCTACTTATGTATGCACGAATGAGCTGCGCTCCAGAGCGTCTCAGCTACTGACGCAGTTATCCCGGACATCTGTAGTTTTCTCTCTTCGTTTCTTGACTTCCCGGGCCGTCAGAGTACTCTCGAATTTCCGGAGGATTGAGGAACAGGTATTACACCTTGTTCTGCCGAAATATTCCACTGTACATACGTTCATGTCGAATTGCGTTGTTGGGCACAAGCCCCCTATCGATTTTCGGCCATCGGATTTTGATTCCAATACGCCGCACGTGATCGCGGCGTTACGCGGCCGATCGCCTTCCTCTCAGAGTCTCTCCCCGACTTCAAAATTGCTCTGACTTGCTTCGTCGAGTTCCTCGACTGAAACACCCTTGCGCTTGATCCTCCCTCCGACGTCGACTCGGAGCCTCCACTTGACGCGTAACTCGTCACCCGGTGTTTCAGTGTCTTCGAGAGTGCTACTGTAGTTCTGCGCAGTGCGCTTGACGCGTCCTTTTCCTCTTTTATGTATCACTCACCTCCGCTTCGCTGCGTGCCCTCCGCCTCCGCCTCTGAGTCGTCTTGGTGTCGATGTCATTGTCAAGCAGCTCCGAGACGCGATCTACCATCTACCCTGGTCCACCCATGGCCACAGGATGCATATGAGCTCGAGACTGGACTCCTCCTCCTCTGCGCCTCGTCTAATACTACTGGTAGGTACCTCTGGAGACTGGATCCCCCCCGCCAAATTGGACTGCAAATCTGGATTGCTGATATGCGGTGATGTGCGCACATCATGATGCATGATCCTCGATGCCGACATCAACGATGACTCTCTTGCTCTTGTTCTCCCAGGCCTTGCCTTGATCTCGAAGTGTTCAACCCCCATGCCACAAGCCCGAGGTCACTAGTCTATGTGGATGGGTGAGACTCTAGCGCGGTCGATGGACGCATGCGTACATACTAGTATCTTATCCGCAACATGAAAGCCTCCGAGGCGCTAGCACTCAGCACTCAGCGCGCAGTACCCGCCACCGGGCCCGTCCCCGCGTCTCGCGTTTCGCCCGCATCAACAACCCGACGCGCCTGGGCAACGCTGTGGAAACACCCGGCGTTACCCTTCTCTTGGCTTGGCACTATCAGTGATCGTCGTAAACTATTCCCGCGCACGACGTGATGCACGGCGAGTACATACCCATTCCTGGGTGATGCGTCCCGACCCGGGTATTTGCTACAACACTAGTAAGGGCGCCACCTAATAACCGTTACAGCCCCTTTTAATTCCTTCATCGTTTCTACGCTAGGCGCTGGGGTCGGATCTCCGACTTTCTACAGCGCCGCTTGCGCATCCTCGAGGAGGTACATTGTCGGTCCTAGTGCTCCCGAGTCGGACATCCACGCGTTATCAATCGCGCAATCGCGATTCTTTGGTATCCAATCAGGATCAACGCCGTATCTGGAAAGATTTGCGTACCAAGCCCGGGATACACAGTAACATTGGAATTTGGAACTAAGTTTCAGCTCTCCGTCCTCGCCAATTAAATAAATGGCTGTTCACAGTGCGC